CCAGGGCTAAAGCCCATAAAATGAATTAAGAACACATAAATTTTTATCATCTGCGACGTGACGAATACATTTTAATTTACTCAAGAATGCGTACCCTGATACATTAAATCTAATTCCTGTCTTATTTAATTTCACAACTTTGAAAAGGAATGTATGAATAGCTATAAATGATGAGAAGATGTTTTATGGGTTGCTTCCATTTTTTCTGAAATAAATGAATAAATATAATGCTTATAAGTTTTCATATCTTTTATGTTCTTAATAACGAATGGTATAGACCTTTCAACTTCGTCTTCCTTCGGTGCTGTTCTTTCATATGAAACATTATTGGTATCTTCAATAATGAAACCACAATCGCATAAAATTTTATATGTACCAATTGTTTCTTTTGATATTTTATCTAACAAATCAAAAACTTTATCAACACCTGTACATTTATTTAAATAATAATTTGTGTAAATATCATGGTCTTCTTTCTTAATCGTATTTGTTGCATATGTTACATTTTTCAGTGCTTTTTTGAATTTTTCAGAATCAAGAGGAGGTGAAAGTAATATACATGGATAATCTCCATCGTCAATAAACTGAAGCTTATGTTTATGAATAAATTTTGTGCCTTCTTCTGAAAGTGTTTCGTCAATATCACCATCTAATAAATTTTGTGTTGATTCTGAGACATAATTTTTATATCTTTCTTCATGAGATTTCTGAACTGCTGATTCTGAAGCTGGGATATTCATTAAACCCTCTACTTCATTTTCATTATATTTTTCAACTTCTCTTAATTCCTTAATTTTTTCATCTATTTCATCTCTTATTTTTTCCAGTCTTTCAATTTCATTGTATTCATCATCATCTTTAATCCGTTCTTCATAATATTCAGGGAAAACATCAGGTTCTTTAGGTTTTTCTTCTTTAGATGTGGGATATAAGAAATTTATAACATCATCTTTATTCATTTTCCATCATAATCAAACTCATTTAAAAACTCCGCGAATTTTTGACAATTTCTTAAATAATATTTATCAACCTCATAACCCGCCTCCTCTAATATATCCTTTATTTCCTCATTTGTGAATCCCAATTTTTTAACGTCGTTAGTCTTGACGCTCATTTCATACAAAATAAAAATAAATTATTCAAAATTTCAAAAATAAAAGGAGTGGTTAGTTTGAAATCTATTCCTCAATCAAGAATCACCTCATTAATGAAAATAGATGATTTAACAAAAAGAATAGAAATTATTGAAGAAAGAATGAATCAAATAATTGATTTCATAAATTCAAATAATCATTAGTTTCTTAAAGTTCAATGTTGATTCTGAGACATGAATGTTTAAAGTTTATTTTTTTTATTCATGAAAATAATTATTTCTAATTTCTTTTACTCTCTCGTATATACTAGATTTAAAGAATTCAGAACTTTTACCATAATCTCCTAAATGTTTTCTTATCTTATTGGTTTTCCATTCATAATATGAAACTGTATAAACTTTATCTTTATCTTTGCATCTTTCATCACTTCCAATATATTTATATTTCAATTTTGATTTATTGGTTTCATATTCATTAACGTTTAATAATTCACAGTCTTCCTTTTTAAATAAATGTTTTATGTATTCAGGATTAACAATTCTATAATATTGCTTCCCTTTAAATCTTTGAATATAAACAGGAACACCATCCTCTAAAATTCGATAATCTATTTTATCTGGTTTTACTTGTTGGGTCATTTATGTAAGAATAAAAAAATAAATTATTTTAAAATTAATATGTTAAAATAATGATACAAAATCGTTCAATATTGTATGAATTCTTACGTTTACAAAAAAAGTCACACAACCCATCATATCCTTCTTCTTCTCATTTAAATGCATTCGCACACTTTAATTTTGAAATATAAGAGTTTTGGAAATTATCAAATTTATCTGCTCAAATACTATAGATCTTCATAAGTGTTAATAGAATCATTAGCCTTACATATAGTGTTTAATATAATGATGCACATTATACTGGGATTCATTCCTTATTCATCTAGTTATTATAAGATTTACAACCCCATGAAAATTTAAAATTTTGTCAAAAATAGTGAATGTACCTTTATCGCACTATCGTACATAATAATCTTAGATACATATGAAAAGTAATATTATTGCATTTTTTCTCTGACCAATTCAAATTCAATGAGCAAATTGAATGCGCAACTCATGTTTCGAAAATTTTGCCCATACAAATCATTTGTGTACCTTATTGGTTTAGTTAACCAAATACATGAGAGATAATTTTTCTTTGAATACCTAAAATTTTTCATGAACATGTTTTTGCTTGAAAAATGCATAAATGTATTATTTAGGAAATAAATCTAGAAAACTTCATCGGCGTTTTTCAAAACAATCGATAATTTCCCTTCAAAAATTTGATTAGTTTATCCATTGATTTTTTTTCTCCTAGAATTTGTTATGAATTTCATTAAATTTAAGTTCTCAAGAATAGAATCAATTCGTGACTATGAGAATTAAATAATTTTTAATAATTAATAAAAAATTGAAAATATATTTGCAAATAGATAAAGTTATTGAGTTCATCAAAAGATTAAAATATTTACTATCATTTGACATGCATAATTCTCACTCGATCATTGTATATTGGTGCTACCGTAATAAAAATTTATCAAACTTTCGTTGATAGAGAATAATTAATAGTACAAATCGTTGCAATTACATGAGATAAATATAGTATAGAATGAAATTTATGAATAATTATTTATTATTTCAATCCTATCTTTTTTCAATCGCTCAAAGTAAACATTCTAAAACATTAAAAATAGTTGATGCCATTTGCAGCCAATTTATTCTCAATCAATAAATCTTTTGCAAATCTGAATCATCAAATGGTTTATATGAATAAGAAGTAAAAAACGGAATCTCTCACGATATAAATCCAAAATTGCATTTAGCTTCTTTGAAATTTAGGATTTTCCTTTCTTAATTTTGATGAATCATATTTTAAGAACTTATTTTCGTTAAATGAATAATTATTCAACATCAGAATGGGTAAATATGATGATGTTGATGATTGTTTTGCCTCAAATTCATTCATTTTTGAAGAATATAGAGAATATAAAATATCTTTAACAATTTCTGACAACATGAAAATGAGATCAATTGCATTAATTTTTTTCATTTCCTATTATTTTTGGTTAGATATGGTTTATATAGGGGAAGACAATTAATAACATTTATTATCAAACCATTTATGATAAATATTGACACATATTTTTTCCTTTCTTAGATGTATACCCAACTCAGTATTTTTTGGATGCTTATACGAAAATAGGAAAGGCATTTGTGGTGCTGTTAATAGAAGGATGAATAACATCCAAATCTATTTACTAAGCAATTCAACCGTCTTTATAGCTTCATTTAATTCAACCCAAAATGATTATTTTGGCGTCTTTTGCACCTCATGGAGAATCATAAAAGGTTTCAGTAAATTATCTGTTTTAGTACAATGAATTCAAGCTATTACTTTTAGAGTTGATAAATACATTTATAAAGAAGCAAACTATTGTTTGAACAACAAAAATTTGGCTATCGCGTCTTCTTGATCTAGTATATTTTCATCATTATATATGTTGTCACAATGAAAACTAAAAAACATACACAGCTTGTTAAAAATTTATAGATAGTTAAGAAATTCATACCTTGAAAGAAGAGTGTGATCAATGGCTTATATTTGAGCTATTGAACTGTAGTCAATGCAGTACATTAGAAAACTTCACTCTGTATTTATTTTGGTAATGTCTATGAAGTCCAATGTGACGCGTTGTATAATTAAATTTCATTTAATACTTATTGTTTCCATAAAAGAGTACCGTTTTAAGATTCAAAACCCATAAGTTTTATTCTAAAAGATTATGTACATTTGCTTAACTCCATTATAATAAATGAAAGTTATATGATAAAATTCATATAAAAACTATATTTCTACATTGAAAATTACACCTTCTCAAAGTGTGCGGTTAAAATTCTATGTAGTTAAATTTAAAGTGCTATTCTTTGTTATTTTAGCATCAAATCATTTAATTGTTATGAAGTAATCTATTGGCAAACCAATACTTCCATGGATTGAAATATTTGAAACTCAGCTTTTTCAAATCTTATGTTGTATTAGCTAATATTACCATTACATTCTAGAATACCGCAACATTTTATTGATTTAATATATAAGAAAATGTATGTTAGTCACTGCTCATTGAAAAAATTGAGAATTGAAGTAAAATTAAGTGGAGGGTTTATTCGGTTAATCCTATCAAATCTTGTATAGTTAATATTATGAGGTTACCATTATTAAGATGATATGTCTTGGTAAATTATGTTTATAATAAAATTGGGCTTAAGATTAATTTGTATTCGTTGTTTTGATAAGAAAGCATGGGTCTATTCAAAAAATTGAAAAATTTTGGGTATCGATTAATCTTACATGTAAAAGTCTATTACTAACCACAGGAAAGTTATTTTGAATCTAATTCAATAAATTTCAAATAATATTCCTATTGAATAATTATTTCTTTAGAGTTACATTACAACAAATATAAAAATACAATATTATCAAGCCAAATATGAATGAAGCACAATGAAAGATTTCGATTTTTAATTTTTTTTTTCAAAATTGAATATTCTTGATATTTTTGAACGAACAGAAATAATATGGAGATTGGAAAGTCAATATTTCTACGTGCATTACCAGAACATTTACTTGCATTTTATAAATGAAAGTTTTTTGCGGAATATCATTTTATAATTTGCAATAAAACTGTAATGGTTTGAAAAAATGCTTTATACTATGTTGGAAACGAATATGAAAAACAATATTTTTTGATTATTTTCTAATAGAATTTTAAATTTTTTAAAATTTTTATAATTAAATTTGAAAGCCATCTTCTTTAAAATGGTTTAGGTCTTCAGAAATTGATTATAATATTTGTCAGGTGGAAAAAATTCAGTTCGCATTCTTGCTAAGATCAATGTGCTCGAAAAGATTTAGAAGATCTATTTCATTTTCGAGAATATTGAAGTTATACTCTTCAAGAGTATCTTGCTTCTTGGAAGATTTTTTCAACATGTCAAATGGAATTTGATCACTTTCTTTCATCAAGTACTTATACCATCGATTTTTTACGTTATTTCCATTTCTTCCATCTAATAATGTAGTTATTTCAGTCCATTTTGGTCCTATTTTCAAATACATATCAATAATTAAATTATCTTCTTCTTTAGTCCATTTTTCATGCTTTAAGTTCTTTGACAAGTAATTATTATATCTATCACAAACTTGTTTCGCAGTCCTTCCAGGGATTTTTCTGGCAATCTCCTCCCATGTGAATTCTCTTTTATTTTTTGTATTTTGACGAATGATTTCATCTTCTTCGGGTGTAAATCTTTTCCTTTTGGTTGTACATACTGGTTTTTCATTATCAGAGTCATTAAGATAGCACATATGGAATAGACGCAATAAAAAATGATCTTTTTTTTTCTTTGTCAAATTTCCTTTCAAAAACATAATTGATAGAATTTGAGAAGTCATAGAATACAAGATAAATACTATGCTATTATAGAATTAAAATATTATGTATTTAAACCATTTTGCTTTTGTGATTAACAGTCAATAGAATTTCGGTTTTGATAGCGGGAGCCTTTTGTCAAACTGTTTTTAATTGTTCGTCTGTAAATTATTTTTGTGCAAAGGGATTGAATTAAGCAATAAACCATATTATTTGATATATTATTTTGAGAGTGAAATTTCTCTTCAATGAAAATCCTATTGTATTGCATTTCCTAATAAATCTTCATTAATTTGTATTTTTTCCTGACCAATTTATTTTTGAATTTTTGAATTTATGTCAATTTTTTTCAATGTTGATCGAGACATTCATTTTAACCTTAAAGTCAGGATTCAATTTATACTATTTAAGCATTTGGTTTCACACATAGTTATTACCAATAAATTCTTCAATAAAGAAATATGTGTTTAAAAATCTTTTCTACTTTGAGAAGAAATCATTTTTTCTCAAAAAATTGACAAAGTTACATTCTAATTTGCAATCCAAGTCCTTAAATTAATCGCAATTTCTTTAATACTTACATTAAATACAATATTGTTCATGTCTCAATGTCGTAATTTATTGTCATATTTCTTTCAAAATTTGGCAGGAAAATTGAAAATCAATCATTGACAAAGAAATCAATAGATTTATTCAGTAATATAGAAGTGTATTCGTATGATTTCAATCACAGAGGTATTTCAAAGTTGTCTCTAATAACGCCAAAGAGTTTTATATTAAATTCCTTCAAATAATCATCGCATCCTTAATATTAACTTATTTTGAAAGATTACTATGATCTATCTTTTTGGAGTGCGTTATGCTTCAAACAACATTCAATAGATCATTCTTTTTGGAGTGCGTTATGCCAATGCAATAACAAGATCATTTATAACCAAAAAAAGGTGATATAGTTTTATCTAAACACAGATTCCTTGCTCTTAAAAAGGTTAAAAAAAGAAGAGAATATCATAGTGTTGTATATTAATATCATTGTTACACTTGTTTTGCATTACTATTTTAATGCCCATTGATTTTTCTTTGTGATTTTCATTTATTTTAATATTATGGATATACATCTTCTGTTTCTAACTATATTTCATATCAAAACACACATACAAATTACATCTTGTTCGATTGTTATAGTTGCAATGAACTAAAATCAATAAATAGAATGATCGAATAATTATTTCTTTTCTTTTATAGTTTTTTTGACTGAAAAAGAAATTATTTAAACACCATTCTAATTGTAGACTGTTCATGATTCTCATTTTCGGGAATATAATTTTGGACATTTCAAAAATTATATCTTTTATATACTACAGGATAAAAATGCTTACGAAAAGGTTATAAATTCTTTCATTTTTGAATATAATTCAAATGATTTGAATGAATTGAAAAGCGAACACCTCTCAGCAATTTTTTACTTAACAATAGTTAAAATAATAAACATGTTATGATGCATATATTTGATTGAAGAAAACCATCGAATTGTAAAGTTATCAAATTTAACCTCACAAGAATCCAGAAAACTAATACGAAATCAGTTTTCGGTGTATAATGTATCCAAAAGTCTAAAATAATTATTTATTTTATTCATCTTTAAATTGAGTTTCAACTCATTTTGATGAGTGCAGCTCCCAAGAGGATTCAGATAAAGATAAGGTATAAGGGTTCTGCCATTGTCTTACGTGATGTGGATCCAGATAGCAAAATATCAATACTCAGGAATAATGAAAACCAGGATTGTGTTTTCATGTACAATCAGATACTTTTAGAAGATAAACTCACCTTTAAATCGTACTCAATTCACAATAATGATACAATTTTCTGCATTTCTCCTATTGATCAAAAACCCCGGACTAATATTCATTGCATTTTAAGAGATATTGAACTTGAAAAACAACGACTAAAGGAAGTACATTATATGAAACTGCTCAGTATTCCAAAAGCGTATCGATCAGCTGAAATGAAATTTAAACCTAAGGAAGATGATTTATTTTACTACGATAAAATAGAAAAAAAGAATGTTGTTATACCTCCAAAGTTAGATAAGCCTTTAAATTGTCCTTTACCAATGTTGTGGGATTTGAACGAATCAAAATAATGGAATATGTTAACCATATCATAAAGAAACTTGTTTGTTTATTTAAAAGTTGCTCCTATATTTTTTTATCAGAGTCAATTGATATTCTATACAATTCTAGAGAATCCGCTTCTATTTTTCTAAACTATTTAATGAATAATAGCAATTGACGCATATATTTTAAATAAAACATTTAGATTTCAAATTGCAAATTTTAAAGTGCATGAAAATATAGCGATTTTATTATATTACTGCATAATATTCTAACTATATAACTTTAGAGGAGTTATGCTAAATTACAAATTTTGCATAGCAAAAAAATTCACATTGAATTTTTGACGATAAAATGATCGTATCTCCATAAAACGCTAAAATTATATTGACATTTAAAAGAACATTTACTGAGCTAATTGAATCAGCATTCAATTTCCGAATACATCGCACAATAAATTCAATTAAATAAATAAATAATCAGTTGTCTAACCCAAATAAAACAAAATATCGATGTAAAATGTAAGAGTCATAAATTGAGAGTAGGAAATTCTCTCAGAAATGAATATTGTTTTTTGTAAATTAATTGTATCATAAAACTCAATAATCACTTTAAACTAGTATTCCACCGACCGATCATCTTATCAAATTTTGTTAGATTTTGTCATTCGTTTGATGGAGGACCAAAGAGACATTTCTGATAAACAATTTCTTTACTCTCCTCCCCAGAATCTTAATATTCCATCCCCTTATCATGTTAATGATATCGAAAATCCGGATTCAAGTTTATCAAATTCAGAAAACACAAATCAGAGACAAATCTACATTGAAACATCTTCTAATGATTTAAGTATGGAAGAATCCTCAGAAAATACTGAAATTAATCCTTATTTTGAGAAAGATGATCCTGATATTTTGGCCAAAGTTTCTAAATATCAACAAAATGACTACTATCAAGATTACAGTGCTGTTGAACATGATTTTCCACAGTACATGAAAGGAAAATATAACCCTTCAGAATCAATCCCTTTTTATCAACAACCTGAATTATTGCACATTGCCTCTTCTGGTAATTACAATGAATCCGTTGATGACAAGACCTCGAATGCAGTAATTTGTTTAATTTGCCTCTTATCCATTCTTTTTGCTCCAATCGGCCTTATTTTCCTATGCATATTCAAAAAGAACAAGAAGATTTTCTCTCCTCTCAGACCATGCGTTGTGATTGGTTTCGGTATAGTGGTTTTCATTATTTTTGTTATTATTTCCGGCAGCTATATATATGACCCGCATAGCCACTGATTAATTAGTATGTTTTATTTCTTTTATTTGTTTGTAAATTTTATTTCTTTAATTTTGGTTATTATTTTGTGGAATGGTAATAGAAAATATAGATATTAAGATTTTGTTTTCCAAAAAGCTATTTGAAGTAAAATTTTCATTAACGTGGGTGATTTTTCACCCAGCCATAAGGATCACACTTTTGAGAGTTTTACATGGCATTTGCCGGTAAATGCCATGTAAAGTTATCTCAAATATTTTAGGGTAAATGCACCGGCAACCCCTGGGAAATAATTGAGAATAAATTACATGGCATTTGCCGGCAAATACCATGTAAAACTCTCAAAAGTTCAGCCGCTTACGGCTGGGTGAAAAATCACCCACGTTACAAAAATTTTGTCAAATTGCATGACAGATGAATCTAATGCTGCATATTCTCAAAATCATAGTTTACTTTATAATGACTAGGCCGAAATCTTAAATTTACATATTTCTTCCACTATGTTAGATTTCTTCAATTCTATTATAAGGTTCCTTATATTAAATCATATGTTAGCAATTCATTATTTGCGATAAAATTCTCATGTGTGGCATCTATTTATTTCAAAAATAATGCATAGTAAAAGTTTTATTTAAATTATCATAAAAAAAAATAACATCATTTAACATCTTTTTTTCATATTAATATGAATTATTTTAAAAGATGAAATGTTTAACTGGTGAAAACAAAGCGAAGCATTTTAATCTTGCATCAAAATACTCTCTTCGTTATCAGGTTCAAAATCATTAGCGAAAGGATCTTGAACGTCTGCGTTGTATATCGGATTATCGGTTTCTACAGCCGGTGCATCATTGAGGTTATCAAATCCAACATCTTCTTGATTGAATTCTGCAGGTTTTTTAGCAGCTTCATGAAGAATAATGGCGACTGCGGCAATGATAGCGATGCTACAGCAGCTCCTGCAATACCAATAATCATTTGTTGCTTTTGGAAAATTGAGTCTTTCTTTGATTGAACCTTTGTGTTTTCAATGTTATCACCAAATGATAATGAACGTTATTTCACCATTACTATCCTGAGATTGAGAAGAAATATTACCCAGATTTTCCTTACTTTTACCACTCCCCATGTAATTTCTGGGGAAAACGATAATTCATTTTTTTTATGGATGAATAGATCGTTTTCCTAGAAAGGACCTCATATCTCTGGCTAAAAAGAGTGTCAGATCCTAAATAGATTATTGATCTAGTGTACAAATCCAATAAAAAGCCTATTTTTTTGGCTTTTTTGGTGCTCATTTTTTCGAAGATCTACATGAATATGGGGAAACCATCGGATTTTTTTGGTTAACCCACATCTTCATGTAGTCTGGACTATCTTTCCTCGAAGGACCTCTTTACGGGTGTAAAAACTCATAAAGTTCTCAAAAGATTCATTCTCGATCTCCATGCTGAAAGAATTTACAATAAAAAAGAGATCTACGCATCAAACTACAGTCATAAATGAACTGAACCCCTAAAGCTCAGCTCTTAGTTTATCAAAAACGTCGAAATCCTTCTCATTGCAATCAAATTTTCTCAATAACTCATAAGGAAAATCGAATTTTGATTAAGCCGATGTTATAGGTATCACAAATACTACAAACTTGAGCAATATCGAAATTGCCAGCAAAAGTTTGAAATTGCATTGCTCATATTTGTTTTGTAAACTAAAAATCTGCTTATATTATTCATTAATTTTTTATATATTATTCATATACTTTAATAAAAACAATACTATTTCACCTTAAAAATGAATTTCATAAGTCAATATTATTTTTTTGAAAATGTATCAATTTTCGATTAAAACAACATGAGAATAAAATTTACGCAAAATTATTTTAAAAAATGGTTTTAAAAATTTACAATTGATTAAGAATAAGATTGGAAGAAGTTTTGAAGTTTAATTTTAAGAAAAAAAATTCGGATATTATTCATGGATCTAAGTAATCTGATATTTGAGTATCGGCACTATGCATAAAACATATATTTATAGTTTTTTTGGAGTTTTATGATTTTAAATATATTCAAATTTGGCAATCCAATAGATTTTTAAAAAATAGGTAAATAAAAATAGATTACATATGCAGCAGATTTAGAACATGAAACAAATCTTATAGTGACCCAAAAAAAATTCATGATCCAAAAAAGAAAAAAATTTTTTAAATGGGAATCAAACCTTGGCATAATGAATAATTATGTCAGATGTTTCCACTACACCAGCAATTCAAAAAATACCCTTGGTGGTTCTATTTAATAGCTACTCCCAACGATAGGCGGTGTCCCCAGCTTTAGAGGGGTGGTAAAAGTAAGGAAAATCTGGGGAATCAAATTTGATTCCGAAGCTTTTGGACTTGCTGATGGTTCTGGTGTTGGAACATAAGGAGTTTGTGTTGGCTTTGGAACTACAGGTTCTGGACCTACTGGAATACTTTCTGTTGGATAAGGTGTTGGGACATGTGGTGTTGCTGTTGGAACGTAAGGTGTTGCTGTTGGTGTAGGATAATGTATGACGGTTTTAACTTTATAAGTATAACTTAAGAGATGGTGATCTCCATCAGCAACAAAGGAATAAATAGTTTGCATTGGTTCAACTTCAGGATCTTCTGGTAATTTAACCAATACTGTAATTCTTTCTCCAATAATAATATTAGTGACCTTGAGGGAAATTTCTATCTCGCCATCAAAGTAGCGTTTTGGCTTGTCTTTTGGACTAACAACTTCTATTGATGGTGCTGCATATCGAACATAGTAGAATTCTGATGGAACATCATTGGATTGAAGGCCATATGTATCTTCAGCCCAGATTTTTATCCTATGCTTCCAAATTGGAAATTCATTTGTGATAAATCAAATAACTTTGAAAATCCTTTCGTCGCTTTATTACAAACTATTTTTTCATCGATTTTGAATTTAAATGTGTCATCAATCATAAACCATATATAACATTCACCATTATCCCAAACAGTTCCTGCAACAACAAAGCTACCTCCAGCTGCATACTTCTCATTGATGCTTCTTGTTAGAATTCAATAACTGGAGATTTCATTCCAAACTCATCTTCTGCCCAAATTTTAAGAGGATAGGATCCACTTGTTGATGGACATTTTAATATTCTTCTATCATCAAATACTTTCCATGCACCTTTAGGTCTGTCAGCAGGGAAATAGCTATCCAATTCTCCATTTTCAACATTTAAGAAGCTGTATTTAAGATGCACATAATGTGATGAACGGTCTGGATCATAATATTGGACCCATAATCTTATATTTTCATTTACATTGTATTTCCTTTTGAATGGTTCAAGTAGTTGAATTTTTGGAGGACTGCTTAATTCTTCGCCAATTCCTAATAATACAGAAAATGTAACACTTTCATGAGCGTATATTGGTCTGTTCTTCCATCCAAATGAAAATGCAGTGTCAATATTTTGCTCATTATTAATATCTTCTCTATCGTCATATTCATGGTAATTTGAAGGATAATTTGAATGTTCGCCGAACCAGAAATGATCAACATCTGTAACACCATATCCATCTCTTACAATTAATGTCAAAATGTTTTGTCCATCCCACATTGTTAAACCTTTCTTTGAAGCAGGCGCTTCATACCAGCTGATATCTGCTTTATCATTGTCAGCGATTTGAACATCAGTATATGATGTCAAAGATACTGCGTGAGCTATATCGTCATTATTTGTAACAGTCCACTTGATTTGAATATAATTTTGGCTATAAATGAATGGTAATACAACATCGGTTTTAACATGAACATTGCGATATGATCCAGTTCCATTATATTTTGAAGCAACGATTATTTGTCTTGGATCGTGATCTACTTGGAATGTAACATGCCATCCTTGGTTGTTATATGTAGTTGATTGACCCTTATATTTGATATCAAAACAAGAATAAAAAATACTTTAAAGCCCCAATCGAAGAAACTTCCATTAACATGAGTGTATACTGGCTCATAATCATGTGAAACAATGTATTGCCAAAGGAATAGAAACATCAAACACTGAAACAAATTTAAAATAAAATAAAATTTTTAATTCAAAACTTATTTTAAGCCCATAACAATAAATTCATTAACCAATGCTTGATGAGATAAATAAACCATCTATATTATAATTTGTAAAGCTCTCATTTTTTTTACTTTTGAATATTGAAAATCAATTGAAAATATATTTCTTTGAAAATAAATCAAATTATTTGAGATTAACATGATGCAAATATAGTATATATAGCATTAATCAAAACTTCAAAATTTACATGGATAACATTTTTTTAGTAACAATAATAGAGCACACATTTGTATAGACATATGTTTAATTACGATTAGAAATAATATTCACAAATGTATTCAATGTTTTCAGAAATTCATAGACATTTTCAGAAGATTATTTGAATTTCCTTCTAATTTCGTAATGAAATGACAGTTATTTATTTATTCGATCGAAATACAGAGTTTTTATATAGAATATTCATTGAAAATCTCTATTTATGCTCAAAATCAAAAATTATTATTGCGCCGATCTATTTTATTAATTTTGCATTTATTTTTTTGTGCTTTATTTCAGATGATTATCATGAAAATCTATGTAATTAAATCAAGATATTTCAAATTGGTGTAATAAATCCATAATGCTGTAATTATTTAAGTTCTATTAAACCATAATATCCATTACAATGCAGTTTATGGAATCACGTTATACTGTTATCATGATAACTGGATCTTTTCAATCACGTTCAGAAAAAGCATTCGTAAATTCACAGAATTTTTCACTTGACTGAATGACGCTTTAATTCCAATTCTTAGCTATTTACATATGGATTTCGAATTTTTCAAAGCTAACTTTTACAAATTATTCAGCCTAATAGATATGGCGATATCAAGTACACACAGGAAGAGAACCAACACAGCTTTTGGAAATAAAAATAATCTGGAATGTCAAATAATTAAATTTATGTTGCTAAGCAATGAAATATTCTTCGACGAATATCCATTATTTTTAAAAAATGATGGCTTGGATGATTTTATTCATTAATACATATATCTTTATGAAATTGAATTATTCAGGGTTAATTTCATTCAGAATAATGTGTTGAATACGATGATGATAATGTTTTATTATGGAAATTGTGATAATGTAACTATATGCTATGGATAATATCTAGATCCCGAATAACAAATTTCCTTATAAGTAAAATTTTTCATTTTAATGTGTAAAACAAGACCAATAAGGAGCAAAAAGAGTACCTCATTATTTAGAATAAGGAAATTGTATTTTTGAGATTTGAAATAGTAATTACAAATTTGATATTCTCTGCATTGGCATATGATTTTATTTTAAAATGTTTGCATTCAGAGGGAATATTGAAAAGAAATTCAAATTATCATATTCAAATATTTTATAGGTTTTTGCAAGAAAAACTAAATGTCTACTTAAATGCATTGTAATTAAAGGAAACGAAACTTTTCAATGCAAAAAATTGGAAAGGAGTTTTAGAATATTTATCAATAATTGCTAATTTTTCGTTTCATGAACGGTTGAAATTAAATTTTCAATGCTTTTTATAAAAGCAACAAAAATCAATATTACTCTACACTTCTAAAGTTCCCAAATAATACTGAAAACATCTAAGCATTCAATATGCCAATTTTGCATTTAAAAAAAATGGATGTGCTCACAATTTTAAACTTGTTTTCATTCAATTTATTAACTCCTTTTTATCTGATTATTCTCTATTAAATGCAAATTGTCATCCCATTAATTTTTAGAAATATTCAAAATTTAATTGAATGAGAATTTAATTTTTTTTTCAATAATTCCTCATTTTCTATGTCTCAATCTTCGAATAATATATGCGATATAGTCTTAGCAAGTGTTCCAGTATATGAACAGCAGAACATGAAAACACTCATTTATCAGTTTATTACAGGAGCAATTACCCTTCAAGAAGCGAAAAATCAATCCATTAAAATCATCGGAACATCATTTCCTATTGAAAATTTATCGAACTTACTAATTGTTGATAACCATCCTTTACCTTATTGCGAGAGAGGCAATTCATACGAGAAATCTGCAAAGAAAATCAAATCCTGGAAATCAATCGAAGATCAACGGCTAATTGCAGGAATACATAAATACGGTCCCGAGGATTGGAGTAACATTGCAAAATTTGTTGGCTCTGGGCGAACTACGGGTCAATGTTCTCAGAGATGGCTTCGTTCTCTAAATCCACTCATAAACAAAGGTCCATGGACTCAAGATGAAGATTGCCGACTCATGGAATGCGTCAAAAATTATGGTGATCATTCCTGGACAAAAGTTGCCTCAACTTTAGTCGGAAGAACTGATGTTCAATGCCGCTACAGATACCAACTTATTGCAAAGAAATATCCAGCGGATCTCGGAATTACATTAGATGAAGTAATATCAAAATTCTTCAAACCTGCTATGAAATCTTCTGAAGAAGTTAAGACAGTACAGGCCGAGAAGAAAGATCAGGATGGAGTAATTCCAATTTGCAAAGTCAAAGATAATTTGACAAACATGATTCAACCTATTCCATTATTTGACATCATTCCTGAAGCTAACGCAGATGCTACAAGTATTTTCAGCATGCTAGATTAGTCAAATAATCAAATAACGATATGAAAAATTAACAAATTGCACTTGATTAGTATTTTTTATTCTTGTTTGATAAACTCTCTGATTTACTAATATATCTTTTTAATGTTCGAATAAAAGCATGATAATTCGAAACGAATAAAATTTCATGAGATAACATCAAGTTTTTGAGTCACGCCTCTATAAAATCCACATTGCTAATGAAGGATAATAACATTGCCTAATTTATAAATATTCAAACTAAAAAATTCGAAAAATTTGTAATCAAAGATTGATCTTGATGAGTATTCATACTTTTAGGCTCAATAGGCTTAAGATGAGAATATTTCAATACTTCCTTTGTTTAAATAAAAAGAAAAAAATCATACAATTTTACTGCAAAGCAAAAAAACAATAATAGTATATTAAACAACTAATAAAAGATTCAGATAGGAGTTAATTTTGAATTTTTGTGGATCTTTCTTTGTTTTATTGAACTAAATAAGGCGTAATCAAGAATGTAAAAAATCATTGCTACACCTCCGGCCATAGAAACTAAATTTGAGAATAGATGGATTAGAGGGGGTCTATCTGGAAAAGATTTTGCAGTTATTATTCCGAAATCGTATTTAAATACAATTCCTGGAACAAGCGTACCATTATCAACTTGTTCCATGTATGCTGTAGAGTAATCGTTGTTTTCGGAAACATCAATTGTATAAACTGCGTAAAAATAGCCAATTTGCTTTTGAATTGTAGAAAATCCATCTAGTTGCGAATGGTTTTGATCACCAAATCTGCAATGATTAAGTTTATATGAAAGATTTAATTCCGATACGTCGTCAATGAATGAAGAAACGTCGTGAGCATGAACACCATCTTCATCTATGACCGAATAACCAGGACTGATATGGAATTCGGCTTTAATTTTAATTGTTTCGAAATTTCCCTTTATTCTGCAACCTTCGTTTTGCATCTTTTTAAGTTCTTTAACTTTGTCAGAGCATTGTGGAATATCAACAACACGAAAAACTTGTGCTACTTCAAGAACTTGTTGGCATGTATTGCAGCATTTGTATTTGTCTTTAAGACCTTTTGTCGCGTTACAAAAACCACATTCTGTAACCTTGCTAGTATTAAATCTTGCAGAATGATCGAAGTCTCCAATAATTTTACCATCGGAAGAAAATCTTGTGTAAGTAATATTCTGATTGTATGTAAATAAATCGAGTTGAGAAACTGCATCAATTAAATCGAAATGCAATAAATAGCAAGGAGCGTTTGGGAAAAAGATATCGAAATTTACTTTTGTTTTTTCTTGAGACTCTTTTGTAATTGTTACGCCATCAGCTTCTGTTGGTCTTTTATTAACAACACTTAATCTTTGTCTGAGTGGTGGGTTAAGAAAACTTTTGATTTCAATTACAAAAAGAGAAATAATTAAGCCAATTGTTATTAACGAAAGTATTCCACCTGTTGTTGTACCTGTTCGATGGTTGTTATCGAGTTTTTCGAATAAGTCAAGTTTGCTAAAACGCATAAAATAATTTCAAGATATGAAAATGAAATTTACAACAATGGATGAAAATGATCCACCAATATGAGATATAATTATTTTTAATATTCTTGAAATTGATTTAGCATTTTTGCATTATTCCGATATAGATTCTGTTTTTTGAATCATTTGTCATATAAATCAACGGGCAAATATGCTGTAGAATTCGTCTGAATATCTAATGTATTAAAATAAAACCAATTTATAAATATTTCAGACCAATTTGGATGCATTTATTATTTAGAGACACTAGACTAAAGAGGTTAAATGCATGATATCCCTTGACATATTGATAATAAACATTCATTCAATATAAAAGGTTTTTAATTACTTATGTTTAATCAATGCTTTGAATTCTGTGAAACTTGGCATTGCCATTTGATTTCTTAAAGGAATTAGGGAGCCATCATATTTAATAGGAATTAAGTTAATTATCAAAATTTATTTTGAAAGTTATTAATCGATGATTTTAAACAAACAACATTTGTGACTTAAGATAGGTATTACATATTTATTGAGATAAAGGCAATTTCTAATAAATAGATTTTTATGAAAAAAAAATAAGGGAAAACTAAACTCATTAATTATCAATCCGTTCTTTTTATCTTATAGTAATAAATATTCTTTGTAGATTTAGAGATCGATACTGTTCTTTTGTAAAGCGAACCAAATCAATAAAAATTTAATTGAAATAAATTAAATTATATAAGTAAAATACTTAATAGAACAATAACAGCTGTTAATATTAATATTCTTTGGATATGAACTGTATAAAATATATAAAATATTATTTTTTCTTTTTTGAAATTCTCTTTTTATACACTTTAAAATATACTCAATATAAATTATTTTTTGATAGATAATTTTTCAATAAATATTTACGGTTATCGAGTTGTAATTGAATTACTTTAAAAACTATATCTTATGGCAGCGTGTATGCGGTTTTTAATTTTTATATTTCTATATTTTTCAAATCTCTATGAAAATTTTTAGGAATATGAATTAAAATTCATATGAAATTCATATTTTAATAAGAGTAAATATTTACTATAAAATAATTCAAAGCGCTCTCAAAAATCTCTATATAAAACATATAGAAATGGGTTGCTGTGCAACTATCCTTCGTGTTTTTATTGGGTTTACTGCACTCATATCAGCTGTTGTATTTGCAGCTGGAGTTGCAATGCTTTTCCAAAAGAATGCAAGTAATGATGCTGAAAGTAAACCTAAATACAAATTTGATACACATCAATTGTGGTATCGAGAATATACTAACTCCGTAGCAATTTTAGTCGTTTTAATTATTTTCCTTGTCTTCTTCATTCTTACTTTCATATCAGCCGTCAGTGTTTGCTGCGTAAAAGCACGATATACTCGAATAATGGTGTTTATAGAGTCACTCATTGCATTAGTTCCATGCATTATTGTATTTATTGTTTGTACATCAAAAAGAGAAATGATTCTTGTTAAAAATGCAGAACAAAAATTCAAAGATAGTTTGAGTGTTGTAAAAAACGTTGGCAGTAGTGTTCTTGAGTTAGTATTTGGCGAAAGAAACGAAACACAAAAAAGAATTGTTGAAGCCACGATTAATTTAAGCAATGTTTTTGATTGCTGTTATTGGAAAGAGCAAACAGTCGAAACAGAGGGATTCTGTACATATATGGCTGGTAAATTTCTATTAAATCTGAAACCACGCACTTTTCGCAACAGTTGCTATAAACGCCTTATGGCAGGTGGAGATGCTGGTTACTTATATGACCCATGGTTCAAATATCCCACATTCATTTTTGGTATTGTTGGATTAATTCTTATAATCCTCATTATTCTTTGTTCAATTTCATTTTGTATACCACAAAGTAGCTTTTCTGGCAATGATAAATCATCATCTTCATCGTCCAGTTTCTCATTATCTAGCTAAGTTCATTTTTATCTAAAGATTAAATTTTCATTTATTCAAATACAATGAAAATTGTATATTTGACATCATTAAACCATTATTTATTTAAATCGATTGTATTTTTTCTCATTGGTGGCAGAGAAAAATATAATATTTTTGAAACGCTTCCATTACAGCTTGAAAAATATAGTTCTACATACAAAATCACATTCAAAATCTGAAAAACATGAAATGTTCAAAAATCAGATAAAATTTACCGTATGAAATATGATTCTCATATTTCAGACCATAATTCTTAAATAGCAAATGCCATATTATCGACTGACCTTAGCTAAAGCACACATCTTATATAATATCACTATAGTTGGTAATTGAAAATAATTTCGAAAGTTTATCATGTGATATTTCTCCATTGTAATGAGAATTCTTATTTATCTGTATTGGATTAATGTGCTTGTTTTTAGATCTTAAGGGCTCACTGCCTTAGTTTACAACTATTCAATTTTTTGCACTTAAATGTACTTTTTCTCTATGATAGAATTGATATTTTTAAGAATAAGCTTAAATATAACATACATTGATCATGCTCTATCTTTTCATTGTTTCAAAATCTAAAAAAGATCTCTAGAAGGAGACTCAGGTTGTGAATAACGTATTAATGAAAAAAAAATCATTTTAAGGGTTTCAGAAAGGGTTAATTGTGCGGATTATGTTTTGAATTAAACAAAATACTACTATGGAAACTTCTGTAATATACCTACAATGAATTCAAATCTTATTTCAACAATTTTTTTGATCTCATTTATTTTCAGACGAAAGCTTTCATTTGATTATGATCATCCATATTACAAATGTACAGTATTATTATATAGAATAAAATTGGGTTTCATTTTTCATTTGAATAAGTAATTTAAATTCAAATTGGCTAGTAAAAGCGATTTTTTAAAAGGAAATCATTATCCCTGTGGTCTAAAACTCAATCTTATATATTTTTAGATACTAGCTTTCAAACATTATTAACAGATTTCCGTATTTATTTTTTTCCTTATTTTTTATTATTAATCTGAGGTTTTGATTATAAATAAAATGACAACTGATAGGGCGGCATGAATTTCAAGTTATCTTTTATTTGAATGAGAATAGTTATTTATAACCCATCGTTTTTTTGAGAGAACAAATGATGGTCATTGAATATTTGTCACTTTTCAAATTCAAAATCGGACAATTTAGATTTCGTTTGATATGCATAAGGATGTCAATTTGGAAGAAAAGTGAGAAAATTCCTAAAATGCTAAAAATGAATTTTCCAAACGTATTTTTTTATCTCATTTTTTTGATTTTGAAAAAAATTTGGAGAGAAGAACTCTTCGTTTTTGAATTTTATCACGATGGTTTTAAAGTACTTCCTCAGATCTTGTTGCTAAGATCTAAACTCTCGACTCTCAAATCTACTTCCTCAGATCTTGTTGCTAAGATCTACTTCCTCAGATCTTTTTGATAAGATCTACTTTTAATGTTTAAGCACTCAGATCTCATTTTTAAAATATCTGCACCAAATTCTTACATCTGATAATTTTCATGTGTAACCAATGTTTCCCAATCCCTTTGCCATACCCTACTAATCGCAAATTCATTCCCTTTAATTTTGTATTAAATTTAAATTCCAATCTTAATTTCTATATTATTTATGCTAACCCTTTAAATTTTGTTCTTATTTATTCACCCTCAGATACAAATTTATTTAGAATGTATTCCTCTGAGGTCTATATTTGTATTCGAAAATAAAATCTTTAAAACTCTCTAAGTTATCATTTTCTCTTCAGATATCTAATATTTTTCTAATGACATAACTACTTTGGACGCATATCCAAATTCCAAAAAAATATGGAAAAAATAAAAATGAAATTGAAAAATACAATTTTTGATATGTAAAAAGAGATTTTGAAAAAAATTGGGAAAAAGAGTATCTAATAAAATTGTTTGAGATCTATGTAGACATAGTTTTTACAGTAAAAAATCAATAATATTGAAATTGATCTGAATATATCTTTTTTTTAAGTTTGAATGCATTAATCTCAAAGCATTTGATAAAATACTGGTTTTATTTCAAAATTCTAAATAATTTGTAATTAGATCTTTATGATGTAATTTAATTTTAAACAAGTACAGATAAAGAGAATCATAATAAAGGTGATCTATATTGCTTAAGTAAAATTGAGTATAATAGATCGATCTTAGCAACAAGATCTGAGGAAGTAGATTTGAGAGTCGAGAGTTTGGATCTTAGCAACTAGATCTGAGAGTTTTATCATTTCCGGCATATTGGGCCGAAAAGGAGTGATCCGCGTAAGTATGAAAAAAAGTGAATTTTGTTGTATGGTGTTTTTTATTATATCCGTTTCTCTCACAATTTTCAATAAATATTATTGTTCAAACGGAAATATAAACAAACAATTCAAAAATAAAAATGTAAATGTAAATTGAAAATGTATTATAAACATGCTAAAAAGCGTATATTTTAAACTTAAAGGAAAAATGAAATTCGTAAAAATGAGCATGATGTTTGATAAGGGAGTTTTAATTTTTTTTTCAAAAAAATTAAGGAACTTAAATTGGTTTCGAGGCGTAGATAGGGATAAAAAGATGCTTTAAGAAGATCTCAGTAGAAATATGGTTTATAAGAGGACATAGGTCAGGATATAAGATTATGAAAATTGAAGAAGTGAATTATCAAGATGTATTTATGAGTAAATTATATTGTTTTAAGCTATCTAAATCTGTTTTGATATAAATTAAAGCGTATACTTATGCAAAATGCGAAATTTAAATTAATACCTTTTTTTTTGCTATTTGGACACAAAGATAACAATCCATCCAATAAATGACGTATACCTAGCGAGATGAAGCATTTTAACATGAAAGACAAGAAAATCTGATTACTTGTGTTGAAAGTTTCTGTATTTCGTCTTCTTCCAAACACAGCGTTCAGATGCAGAAGAAAATCCAGCCGTAATGACGCAAAAAGACACTAAAATAAATTGGAGAATTTCTGTAAAGTTTTTACTGAGCTTTGTTATTGAACCCGAATTTGTTGCTGAGTGACAGGATATTAAATCTACGACATTCATGAGTAATTGTTATCAATTTGTCAATAAATTATGTTGAAGATGGTTTAAATGTCTTCGAAGGCATGAAATTAGATCCTAAATCTGTTTGAGTTAATAAAAGAGAACAAATGTTGAAAGAGTTGTCATATTGCCTACAAAATTTTCAAACATTTGCATTGAGACAATGTGAAAAAATGATGTCCAAAATACCTTTACTAAAATATTTTTAATTTGAATCATAACAAGGAAAAACAATAATGGCAGAATAAGAAAAAAAAAACAAAGATGTTATGATTTGAACAGTTGCCTTTTAGATTCAAAAAGAGCATAGTGTTCCCAACCACTACACTACCTTCCTTTCGATAAAAAGCTGAATAATTAGTATTTAATGAATTCTCCACTTGGGGATTTGCGGCTTTTCCAAAATCTGTTATGATAGTTCTATATAGCAATTGATATATAATATGTTTTTTATAATCAAATAATTTTTTAGTCCAGATAAATTTTTTAAAATTTCAAAGTCTTTCCATTCTACTAACGCTCTTCACATCCATATCCTTTACCATATATGTAATATAACGCCTTATTTTAATTCCCATGTTTACGATTTATTTGTCGAAAAACTGTCTTGCCCATTAACATCTCGGAAAAATTTTCGACTTTTTGAATGGCCGTTTTCAAGATCTCAAAAACTGTGTGATATTTTTTACAAAGCTAATCGACATTTATTTACCACATATGTGTACTATACAATGCAACCGGTTTCATCGAATTTTTACCGTCAGTTTTCTCGTGAGACTACCTTTGAAAAAATTCGAAAAAAATTCTCAAAATTCAAAAATCCCTTAATTCCTGAGGATTTTGGAAAAAAAGTTTTTACATGAACATGTGTATATTATATGAAGTATATTGATAAGGTAAAAATCAAATTTTATTGCATATTCATCGAGAAAATAAACTAACGAATCCCTCAAAATTGAGAGGGTAATCCTCCTCCTCTCAAATAAACGTACATACGGGTGCACCCTTAATGTCAAAAAAGTAAAATGGAAGGAATTACGGCATTAATTTTTGAAAAAAATAATATTAATTTTAGGATTAAAATTAATATAACTGTATTCATGTGATATGATACTTAAAAATGATTCATTAATTTTTTTCAAGTAAATTTATTACTGAATAAAATTTAAAATTAGTAATATATTTCAATCAAGGGCGAGGATATTCAGGTGTAACTCAACCGAATTATATATTTTCGAATGAACAACGATAAAATGCGAAGTAAAAATATCTTTGTAATATGAGTAAAAATAAAGCGTAATGTATTAACGAGGATCTACATTATATATCTTTACATTGGTGATGACCCAAAGTGATATTTTTCATTAGATGATATTTTATTTTGTTGAACTTTTCTCGAAATTGGAGGTTAGCTTTTTTGAAATTCGAACAAATTATTTATAACAATAAGAAGATCTTTGTATTCACTATTTATCATTTAAAAAAAGCCTGATGCCTTATGAAATTACAATAGTTTTCCTCAAATTCAATTTTTTGAACTAAAAATATGATTAGGTAGAAGGAAAATGAATACTAATTGATTTTAAATCAAACCCATCAATGCCGATGTCGAAATGGGGGTTATTTCCTAACAAAATATAAACCCGTTAAAAATTGAGAGGGAAAATGATGGGAGTTTCGCTCAGAATAAATTGAATATCAATGAATAAAATATCGATCATGATATTTTCGGGTAATATTGATAATCGGTATTTAAAGATGATCAGAGGAAGAACATTCGATCAATGAATTTTTTGATCTCAAAAAATTTGGCCTCTCAAAATCAGACCATCAATATTTATTGATTTTAGAATATGATATGATATCGATATTAGATAAACCAAAATGTCAATAATAAATTGAAAGGGGGATATCGATAATTGAAATGAAAGCTATTGTTTCGGGAAAATATATCGACCGATATAATAGGCTCATAGATAAATCAGCCAAATAAGCATTTAAATTTAAATTGAGAGTATCAGAAATCTGAAATTTTTAAGACTATGAAAAGTCATTTATTTTTATGTTGAACCAACAAAGTGTAAGCATCGGAAATCTTGTAATCATGCCAGGTGTGAACGTAGTCATCAAGAAGCCTCGCCATTTCTTCACTAACTACACTGTTGAAGACATAAACAAAAGAGTTTTAAAAGCGGGTGAAAATTTAAATATAGTTTACTCCGTATTATCAAATGCGATCGGAGTTGCCTTTACAAATAACGAATTACTAAGCCTTGCCAACATTGTTAGCAATCGATTGGGTATTTATATAGATAGAATGGCGAAGAGAAATAAGAACGCGTTGATGTGTTGGTTCTCGGAGAATTGGATGATGATATATCCATACATCAGGAAACAAATGTCGAAAGACTATAGCATTAATCACAAACGAATCAACGAGAACAACAACACTGAACATCTTTTCACTACATTTGATCCTACTGATGTTCTTCAACTTCTCAATAAGCACTGATATAGATTTATATATAGATGTTTGTTATAATAAATATATTATTTGTAATTTTCATGATAATGAATAATTTTTTTCGATTTTTTCTTAATGAATAGAATCAAATCTTTATAAATAATATCTGGTTAAAGATACATTCTATATTTCTCTAGTATATTGGAAAATTCAAAATCGAAGGAACCTTTACAAAACGATAATTTTTAAAAAAATCAATATTTGCAACTTGAAGACCAACTTATATTGCTCAACTTAGTGAGAAAAATTGTAACGATTGCACATTACATGATTACTATTTTTAATAGGCATGCCAATGATTATATTTATTCTAAATTTGAATAAATTTCCAAAATATATAAATAATTGCGAGAATACATCAAAACGCTCGCGAAGTTGTTAAATTTCAATATACAAATGTAATATACTTCACAAACAGTATAATATCGTCTTGGAAACAATGAATGATATTATGTTGCATTTTTCATGAAATTGAAGGTAGGACATATGTACAAATAGCATGTCGATGAAGATATGATCAAATATTCTGTCTAAGCCAAATTTGGCTGCCTAATTTTTTGTTCAATTAAGGTCATTTTAAAGGATAAGCAACAAATTTAAAATTTATAATACTATTAACTTTAAAAATAAGATTCTAGTAATAGATTTATTCGTAAAATTTGGCATAGCATTCAGGTCAAAAATGTGTCTTGTTGGTCGGATTAAATATATAGATAAGTATGTATATGTTGTCAACTAAATCACTTAAACTTTGAATAAAATTGAATTCAATATTTGTGTAGTATTCAAATTTTGGAACCGATTTGAGCATAAAATCATTCTTAAATTATATATTTATAAATTATTTGAACGATCTGAAGTAAAATAAATTGAATGGCGTTGCTTTTTATATTGAGAGCAAACCTTTTACGTTATGACTGTATTCATGAGCGTATTAAAATAGATATAATAAAATAAAAAATTCAAAAATGGGACTTTTGACAATGACGTTTGGTGGAAAAGTTTAAAAACACAATGCAAATGCCTCAATAAATAAATATTTTAAAATCATAATCGGAAAATTTCTTTTCAAATTAATTTTTATCTGTCATGCCAAGTATGGATAATATTGAATTTGAGCATACTTATGTTATACAATACCATATGTATAAAATGAAGCGTAAATACAATATAATTTTGACACAATCTCTCAATTTAATTTCAAAGATCATTCAAATTTCCAGTAGAGGTTAATTATTGTTTAACGTATTCAACGCACAAACCCAATCAATAGGCAGGGTTCACGTAGCCGCTGTTATCCTAATGGTATCCATAACAGTTCTTTACATTTGGATCTTGTTCAAGACCTACACAACAACTTTAATTTTCCGACCATCAAGTTTCCAAACACTTGAAGGTGCCGCCCAAAACAAATTAATTCTTTGTACAATACTAACAACATTTATGACATCAGTAACTACCCAATTCGGCCGCTTATGGTCCGGCATTTTGACAGGACTTTCAATGATAGTTTACATGTATTTAATTTCGACGGTTTTTAACTGTGGCACTTTTGTTTCGCTCAGAAATCAGACATTAGTACTTGCTGGCTCACTTATTGGCATATTCATTTGCCTTGCGAACATCTTCCTTATTATCTTCATGATTTCTTGGTCTGAATGGTATTTTGTAGCATTATTCGGTGCATTAATCTTTTGTTTAGCCGGAGCTCATTTCTTTATCATGAGAAGAGCTCGCAAAGACTTAGCCATCCTTGATGAAGTTGAATCTCTCCAAGATGTTAGCATCATTAAGTCAACCGGAAAATTTAAGCAGATTTTGATCTCTGGATTCTGCAATTGCCATCTAACATGTATAGATTTCTCAATATTCAAGATGGCTGTCAACTATTGGAGAGAGAGTCTTGGAATTTGGGAGGTTTATGCCAAATTTGCCGCTGTTTATCCAGAGAATACAAGTAATCTGATTTTCATCCTTCAGAACGTTCAAATGCTGAAAGATCGTTCTCCTGTTGCAAACATTGTATGTACAAGCATCAAAAGCATCATAAACACAAGAGAAACGAGATTCACTCCACAAATCAAGAACAAAATATCCAAGATGACCAAGGAATTCACAAAAACAAAGAATAGATTAAGAAATATTTGGGATTTAATCCTTCAAGGTGCAACAAATGACTTGGGAAGCTCAATAAAACTTGCCTATGAATCAGTTAAAGACTCCGAGAGTGATATCAACTATTTAATGACGCTCTTTCCAAATAATAAATTTGTTGCTCGCCAACACGCGAAGTTTTTGTATGAAATCAAGTGCGATGTGCTAGAATACAAGAAGAAGATGGAAGATGTTTCAAAATTAAGCCGTGGATTGAGAATTCAGAAAGATGTTGTTCATGAATTAGGAATGCAAGCAATTCCAACAATTCCTGAGTCATCAACAGAATCACAAGATACATCTGTTAAATCCCTGGTCAATGTTGAAACAGAATCATTAAATATTGATGAGAATTCCATAGAAGATGATGTTTCAATCGACGCTCACAATTCAATTTCAAAGCAGATTGAAAATCACGTCATTCCTTCAATTCATTTAATGTATTGCACAACAATAGTTGCATATATTTTCTTGATTTTAATTCCTTTTATTGTATTGAATGTACTATTCAATTTCTTCTCAAATGAATTGAGAAAGCCCATTGAATATATGCAAGGAATCGCTTTTGTGAGAAATCTAGTGAATATGATGCCAGCATTTGTTGGCAAACATCTTCTCCAGTACATGCCAGATCCAACTGACCCAACAGGAACAAAAATGATCCTTGACGGAGTGAAATTTATGAAAAGATTTCCATTTAACGCTTACGGAGGCGAAAAAACAACTAGAGAAATAGTTAGTTACTTAGCTATGAGTGTTGCCTCGGCAAATGAAATGATTTCTCCACTCAGACATTTCAAATACGAAAATAAAATCATTTCTTCCGTGAGAGACCAACTATTCTCAACGACATCCAAGTACTATTATTACGTGAACACTTCATATTTCACGGAAACAGATACTTCTTCCGTTCAAATTTCCTTCATGCTCTCAGCGAATATTTTGAAATTAGTCGCAGTCCCTGTTGTTACAGCTGAACTCGCCAAGGGACCGGACTCAATCACAAGCAGAAACAATAACAACCTCATAACAGCATCAATGAACACTGCTTTAACATTGATGGTCGATTATATCAAAGAACAATATTATATTCACCAGAAAATCATCAAATTCACGTTCATTGCACTCCTTGCTGTTAATGTTATTGCATACGCTATAATATTTTTAGTCCAAATCAAGAAGCTGAAGAGAAATAAAAAGGAAATCATAAGTGTAATGACAGAATTACCAAAAACCGTAATTTCTAATATCTCTCAATCATTTTCTACCGTAAAAGGTGACAAATCTACATCAGAAAGCAGCTCAAAACGAGATGCAGAGCTCACAAGACAAGAAGAGTCGATAATCAAACTGTTTTCATCAATATCAGATGGAGTTGGCTCAAGTATTGAACGTTTCAACTTCATTATGATATTTTTGATTGTAATTACCTCATGTTTGGGATATTACTTGTGTATGGAGTGTTTCACGAAAGCATCTGATAATATCTTCTATAACTGTCATCATATTAACTATCTTTACGGCTCAATTACGTTCCTTTTCTCAATTTTCGCGAGAATATGGAAAATTGTTTTGGAAAATGCTCATCCAACATTCCAAGGAACATGTATCAACGTAACAGATGAAGTTTCTAATATAGAAAGAATCATTCCTCTTCAAAGCGAGTATTTTTTGAAGATAAGATTTGGCGGTAGCGATAAGAACGAAGTTCCTTTCGACGGAACCGCGGAAACGGTTAAAGAGGCCAGTATCCTATTGTCTTGCGAAAATCCTTTGATTCCTCCTACAGATATCCCCGAAAGTGTACATTGTTTCACTGCTCCTCAGCAGTTGTATTACACAATAGCTTATTTGAAGAGATTAGTATCAGCTATGAAAGAAAATCCACCAAGATATCCGAAACCAAGGGGAGATGGAGTAAATCAGGGTTGGCAAGTCGGACCAATAGAATTATACGAAGCTTTCTTCTATCCAGCAGGAATAAAGCTCGTTCCTTCATTGGTAGATAGCATTTCACGCCAAAAGAAACAGTTACAAATCAATTCAATAGCTTTCATCCTTGTCACTTTTGGGTTGTCACTTTTTATTCTTTACTCAGCGAAGAATGAAGATATTATGATGAATTTTGCATTAAAACAGGTTCTAAGATGTCCAACAACTGTTATTATGCAAAATTCAAAGATAATTGACTTGTTGAGCGGAAATTATTCGAAATTTGATGAAGAAGAAACGAATATCAACTTCTCGAATGAGATTTTCAACAAGTTAAATGATGTTGTCATAGTCTGCCAAGAGGAAACAGGTAAAATTGTCACTGTAAACAGCAGATTTAAAGAAATCTTTGGAGATATCGATGTAAAAACGATCAAAGACTTATTTACTAGTGAGAGATTCGAGTCAAAATCACTCAATAAGGTATTCTCACAGCAAACAGAGCTTGTTTACAAGAACATTTACTTTGAATTTACAAATACTCTTTCGAGTGGCAACAGAATCTATTTTGGCACCGATATAACAAAGAACGTGATGCACGAGAAGCTGATAACAGAAGAGAAGACTAAATCCGATGCCATGTTAGCGAGTATTTTACCACCTATGTTAGTTTCACGAGTTCAAGCTGGCGAAAAGAACATTTCTTTCTCAGTACAATCAGCCACAGTTCTTTTCTTGGATGTCGTAGAGTTCACACCATGGTGCGGCTCTCACGATGCACATTACGTCATGAGAATGCTGAACATCATGTTCAAGGAATACGACGCGATCACTAATTCACACAAGACAATGACTAAAATCAAATGCATCGGAGACTGCTACATGGCTGCAGGAGGCATCTTCGACGAGGTGAATCAGCCTGCAGTACACGCGAAAGAGGTCGTTGACTTCGGATGCCAAGTCATCAAGAAACTCCTCGAGATCGACGAGAGAGAGAACGAGTCACTGAGAATAAGAGTTGGTGTAAACACAGGAGGTCCGATCGTTGCTGGTGTCATCGGAACAGAGAAACCAACATTCGAAATTTTGGGTCCTGCAATCAACATCGCACACGAAATGGAACATCACGGTGTTCCAATGAAAGTACACATCTCTAGACCTGTCTACGAACTCATCTACGGTCAGCAGTTCGATATAAAGGAACGAGGTGAAATAGATGTCAAGGGTGGAAAGATGTTCACTTACTTAGTTGAACCATAACTTATTTATATATGTTTTTTTTTTGTATGTATTTTTATTGTATGTAAAAATTTTTCGATATTTTAGTTTAATTTTCTCAAGATATTTTTTTTCCATGAAAGAATTGGAATTTGCAATCAACAAATCTATAAAAGTATTGCCAATGTTACAAGCACATTGTCATTGATTATTAAAGCATTACTGTGTCTCTTGTGAGATGCAAATATAATCATATGATCAACAGAGGCTGTCAAGCTAAAGTTAGGTTATTTTTTCTAATTTGGAAATGCTTTTTCATAATGTGAAAGATGTTTGAATCATGGCTCAAATGGGATGTAACTAGAACATCGAAGATAGAATATACCATTAAGACAAAAATGGAAATTTGGTTAATTATTATCGAAATTAGAATATCTTTTTTGATTACAACGCAGTGTCATGAAAGAAGTGGATATAGATATCTCAATGGGATCTGTAATTGATAAAAATAGACTGAGGAGGATAAACTTTTTTTATTGATGACTTCACCAATTAACAGTAATTGAATTTTTGTCACTTTTTGTTTTATCCCATACCCATCATTTCATGTTAATTTTTATAGGAAAAACAAATCGGAAAAAGTGCAATTGTAGTGTAAGATAGGATAATATTTGTTAAGCTAACAAATACAGAACAGAGAACCGATTAGAAAGTATTTGAGGATAAAACATTTTCGAAGAAAATGCTATCAGTAGGGATATCAAAGATAGAAGGGGTAATATTAAATAACAAAGGAGAGGCAACCTCAGAGGTTACATCTACTTCATTATCTGTTGAGCTTTCTATTCTATTATGTCCAGAAGTTTGCTTCTTTATAAGATGGAAATATCTATTTCTGATGGAATTGGCAGTTCTTCCAGGTAGAAATTCGGACATTTTTCTCCATTTGCTGCCCAATATCTCATACTGTGATAAAATAATTTTATCCTCTTGTGGTGAAAAGTCTGATCTTTCGATGTTGGGAGCTAAATAATTGGTGTAACGTTCTCTGCACTGTCTTGGAGTACGTCCTTCCATATCAAATGAAATTGTTTGCCAATTAATTCTCTTTCCGCAGTTCTGGACAAGCATAATAGTACAGTATACATTGTGCGTCGCCTGTAGCCTACAGCTACAGGCACCGACACAATGAAAAAAGTGACAGAAAACTGACACCATACGGGCGCGCATATGTACGCATATATGTGTAAAAATAAACGTTCATATGTAAACTAACCTTTATTCACTAGCAGGGGCTGATAAATCATAATCGTCGAGAAGTACGATAGGTGGTCCCACCTGTTTAATCTGTATGGAGAGGCAAACGTGACGTAAGAAGCATAACACTGGTTTCTCAGTATATTTAATAGACTCTGCTGTTGGCTTAACTGTAAGCTTATATGTAATAGGTGAATTAGATAACTGACCCTGTTGGAATGTATAATCAGTTTCGCAAGGGAATCCACATAGGTAATGACCTAAGTCATTTGACTCGATTCCAAATTGAGGGACTGATGTGGTTGTGATAGACCTCATGACATCATAGTTGAAGCCAACAGTATCGTTATTATTGTTAGTGGCATTTGCCTGCATCTCATAGAAGATTGGATCATTAGATGCTTGAGCCTCAGCGGGTATGTTACCATATGCTCCACAGTTCAATTGAATTTGTTCAAACAATGGATTTTCATAGGTAGTGTTATAATTAGGTGTTTTCTTAAATAGTGTATAAATGGTGTTCACATATAATGGAGTAAATGCTGCCGTGAATGTACAAGGAGTTCCTTCACCTTTAGCCATTGAACCATCCATAGTAATGCAGTCAATTCTTTTGATTGGGAAGTTTAGAGTCTTTGCCGAATATCTTGTCACCAAATCACTATAGATGTTAGGGTCCAAAGAGAATGAGTTACAGTATGTAATCATTTCAAAGAAGTTTGCATTCTTCTTAGTGAACTTAATAAACTTGGTACCAAATGATATCGTACTCTTATCGGCATTCCAAGTTACAGTATCAATAACTTTGATACCTTCATAGATAGGAGTGAAGTGATTAGTGATTGGAATATAGCTTGTAACATTGGCTTGCATGTTCGGTAATGGTAGAATATCCTGATAACTTAATGGTGTCCAAACCATACCAGCAATACTGAACTTAACCTTAAGTTGTAAGTTACCAGCAAACGCTGGAAGGAATCTAATGTTATTAAGTATTAGGAATCTTCTTAGGTCAATCTTGATTGGTATGTGGAACTTTAATGTAGTTGCACCACTAATTGGTTTATTGAACTCAATAATCTGTCCAGAACGAACTGTATCACATCTATTGAAAACATCTTTATGTCTAGCCTTACTAAATACATCAACTTTCTTAATAGCTTCTGTTGTAGATGCAGTAGAAGTAATGTAACCTTCTTCTCTAGCATTATCTTGTGTATAAACACTTTTACCATTAGCGATTAATTGATATGATTCAACAGCATAGAATGAATCAATGTATCCCAACCAAATTGCTGGAAGATGTGCACATGATTTGCCACCAGCATATTTAGTATCAATTGCTTTAATTGCTGTAACATTTGATCCTGTAGGAGCTGTCTCAACAGCTCTTTCTTTATATACTTCACCATCATATTTAGGAACTTTTTCATCAGCTGGTTCAGTTTCTGTTGTAATTATGCACTCACCATCGACATAACCACTAATGAACGTATTATATAAGTCAATCATGTTCTCACCAGGTGGTGATATGTTAAATGTAATATAACCGTTATCAATAGTATTTGTCGGCATAGCTGGCACTTTTGTTGGGACATATCTATGGTTAGTATCTCCAATAGGAACTGCCCCATCAACTTGATCGAAATAATATCTTACTTGTCTGATGGAATCAGCAATACTGTATGTATTGAGGTTATCGTTCAACATCTTTCTCAGCTATAAAAAATTTACAATCTTCTTATTCTTGGGATTATTCGTCTTATTTGTGGCTGAGGTTTAGGAGGTTCTGGTTCAGGCTCTGGTTCATCATCGAAGTGTATTCTTTTCTCTTCCATTGATTGAACATATTCTTGATTCTCTTTAGTTTCCTTCTCACGTTCAATTGGGTCCATGTTTGGTTCATTAACTACACTGTTACGTTCTAATATCTTTGTCATCATCTCTAACAACATTTTATTAGTATATGCTTGTTCTTCTTCTTTCTTCTCATCAACTTTAGGAGCTTCTTGAACAACAGGAGCTGGGGCAGGAGCTGGTGAATTCAATGGTGCCTTTCTCTTTCTAACTTGAACTGAACCATTCTTCATATGACAAACATAATATAATGGATGTTGTATTCCTTTAGCTTCATTCAATATGATTGATTGCTTTTCACTTGGTGAAAGTTTTGACGTCATTTCTATCCTAATAAAATTTTTTACTCCTAACAAAATGACTGAGAATACTTTCGACAGAGAAGCACTCAAGAATGAACTTCGTGAAGAAATACTTAATGAACTCAAACCAAAAGAACAAACACAAGAAGAGAAACCAGCTAAACCAAAGCGTAAACTCACAGAGAAACAATTAGCTGCATTAGCAGCTGGACGCGCAAAGAATCCACGAATGATTGCAAAGAAATTGAGAGAAGAGGAAGAAGCTAAGAAAAATAATAAGTAAGTGTTTAGAACTTTAACTTACGTTCAAAAGATGACTTCGTTGAAATAGTGAAGTCCTTATTTTTGTTGAAGCATGGTTTCGAACCAATGCACAAGTCAAAGGTTATCTCATCACCTTCATAAAGAGATTTGTACAATTCCACGATGCTATATTTTTCCCCAACTTTCTCAGGGAAGAACAAACCTTTCTTCTCGTCATAATGTACTTGTATCGCATCTGGGAACATTTGGTTTGCAGTAAGTGCAATTACGTCCTGTGTGATTCCCTTCATTCGACAGTGGAAAGCAATTTCCTTGAGGTCATTGGTTAATTCGTCGAGGTAAGTCTTCTTTCCAACGAATATAGATCTTTGTGCCTTAGACATATGTCCTGCAGTAATCTCTGCAAAGTCTGAATGAAATTGACCCAGTGCTTTTCCAATGAGTTCTCTGTTATACCTTCTCTTGTATTCTTCTGCTAACTTATCTAAGTCCTTCTCATACAAGTGTAAACTATCTGTATCCTGATAGAACAACTTCAAGCCCAAATCTTCTGCTGTGAAGAATACTTCATTCATGATTCGTTTGGACATAGAAAGGATTGAAACACCTAATGGACAATAGTTAAAGTGACGAACGATAGGTTTAAATGACTTTACACATGAAAGTTCGGAATCGGGGATGAACTCTATTGTCTGTATGTCATTATAGTTCTTAATGATATAGTCAGTGAGCTTATTGTCCTTGATGAAACGAATCTTTTTGTCAATGGGCTTTAATATCGTCTTACCATAGATACTGTTCAAAAGAAGTTTGATGATCTCTTGTATCGGATTACCTTCCTTCTTATACTTAGCACGTAATTCGAAGAGCTTCTTAACTTCATTCCTTATTGTCATGTCCCTTTTTCCATCATAATAGTATCCATCAATGACTTTGCATGAGATCTCTTGGAACTTGATCAGATCTTGAAGCGTAATGTGGTCTACGAACATCTTGCAGCATGTATTGGAACTTCTGGCAACATGTAAGTCAGGGTTGATGTCAGGATTGACGACAATCAATGGGAATGCTGAGTTCTTACCGATCGACAAGATCTCGATCTGACAGTAAAATCCTGAGATGAACTTTTCCTTTGTTGGTTCAGCTTGGTCATCATCAAAGAGATGCTCCAACAAGTATTCACTGCTCTTCATCTCTTCTGTCATAACTTTTGGAATTCCTTCTAAACAGTAAAGTCTAGCAATTGCTGATGGATACAATGATACAGCATCGAAGTCAGTGATGAGTTCTCCTTCATTGTATTGCTTCTTGTTCTCAGCTAGCATGCATCTTCCTCCTTGAATACACTTGGAAATATATTCACGAGGTTTTCCTGCAAGATCAAAGAGATTACCGTTCTTCCAATATACTCTCTTCTCAAAGAGTTTGTTTGAGATAGAACTTATTGAAACATAATCATAAGCATCTATTTCAAACTCAGTCATGAGGTCATTGCGGAACTTAAGAAAGCCATCTCGTAAAATGCGTACATCTTGACCGCAATAGAATGACGAATAAACTTCCATGTCAAAGTGTTCATCATCAATCTTGCAATCTTCAATCTTCTCAATGTTCTCATTAAAAGCTTCAATATCTTTGACATGATTCATGGCATCATCGATGTTACCAACTTTAGTTGTATTAACTAACTCTTCCGTGTAGTAATTATATGGGAAAACTTCTTTTTCACCACTAGTGAGGTGAAACATTTCAGGGAATCTTTCCAACTTAGTTGAGATGATTGCATAAGAGTCTTTGAAGCAGAGAAGTTTTCCTTTGTACTTTCCTTGTATCTGCATCGTTTGTGAACCTTTGATGATTGGAGTTCCTGTAATCTCTTCTAACTGAGACATGAGAAAAGTGACATCGTACGATAAGTTGTGGAAATAAACTAAACTCTTATCTGGTAAAGCTTCGAGGAATTTTGACGCACAGTCACTTCCCCAAATTGATGTATAACCATCATCGTCATCTTCCATGAAACAAATGTTGTATGCTTTGTGAATGTTTCCATCAGTTGATGCTTCGAAGTCAGCAAAGAAAACATGTTCTCTTGGGAACTTCATGTCTTTCTTCGTCTCTGAACTCCAATCTTTCTTCATCCTTGCGCAATAACGCTCATTGTATGTGAGGTCAATCATTTCTTCAAGGTTCTCATTATACATCGTTGTGAAGTATGTGCAAAGTTCTCCTGTTCTAATTGGTTCGAAATAATTGTTAGCAAACAAGAGTTCAATGACTTTTGCAAGTGGTGTAACTAACTTTGAGTTAATTGCATACCTTGTTTCATATCTTCTGTTAACTAACATCTTCTTCTCTAAAGTCCAATCCTTGCACAACTTACAAACATCTTCATAGTTCTTGATGAACATTGAACTTATTGGAAGCTTTTCGTTCAACATGTAGTGGTCA